AGTGCAGCCCATGCCCGCGCCCGCGCCCGCGCCCGCGCCGCCCCGGGGCGCCCGGCCTGCCCGGCTGCTTCCTTTTCCGCTGCCTGGCTGGGAGTGGCGGCCACACTGGCTCCGCCAGGCCCCTGGCAGGCAGTGTTTGACCTCGGAAAAGTTTCACTGTGCCTTGATGGCGTTTGTCCTCCCGTAGACCCAGCGTCCCTGGGGTGGCTGCTTGCCAGGGTGTGCGGGACCCGCTCTCGTTGCTCGGCGAGGTCACCGGGTCACCGACTTGGTGTTTAGTGGCTCGCCAGGCAGCCCGGCGCTGCAGTGTTTCTGGGGAAGTTCTCCTTCGTGGGGTGGCCTGTGCTCTCTTGGGGACAGATCCCACACCCAGAGACACCCGCAGTGACCTGTATCGCCCGCGGCTGTCCACTGCTAGTAAAGGCAAGGCGTGGCTTGTAGGAGAGTAACTGCCCTAGCCTCTGCCCTTAAGAGCTTCCCTGCAGTCCTCCGACCACAGTCCTGGTCGGCCCCTGGGCTTGGTGATGCCTGAGAGTGGCCAAGGCTGCGCTCCCCTAGGGCTCAGCACTGATAAGCCTTCCCAGCTGACCTCTGGAGCCGGTGGTTAATCAGATTCCCTGAGCCCTGTTTCTTTGCCAGAGCTGCTGCCTATCCGCCAGGGCAATTAACTCATCCTGACGCAGCCGGCTGGCGGCTCTTTAGATCCGGCTCTTTAGATTCCCAGTTTTTCCTGGGTCATTCCAAAGTCCCTCGCTGCTGGTAGGTGACAGATAGGCACAGATGGTTCTCATGCTGACCAGATGTCCCCTCACAGTGACAAGAACTGGAGCTCAGAGGGAGGGACCCTAAACTTGCCAATGCTCCTCTGCGAACTGGAGCTGGCATCATCTGATGGCTTCATCCTTGAGAGATGGTGTCCCCATAGTCTATTGTGTCTTGTACATTCCTGTTTCCCCATTTCCCTTTAAGTGCTCTGGATCTTCATTTTCAAGCTTCTTTCAAAATGTGCCTTTGTCTTTCTAGGAGAACGTATTCGCCGGGCAGTCAAAGATCTATTCCTACATGAGCCCAAACAAATGCTCTGGAATGCGTTCCCCCCTTCAGGAAGAGAACTCAGTTGCACATCATGAAGTCAAATGCCAGGGGAAGCCATTAGCTGGGATCTACAGGAAACGAGAAGGTAAGCCTCAGACGGGGGCCCTCAGACCCCAGCCAGGGCCCCTCTTCCTAAAGAACTCCTGTAGTCATTCATTGTGTTGGAGAGATTGGATCTGTGTTGCTAAGCTAGGGCAAAAAAAGCCAAAGAGTAACCCGTCCCAGGGTGTGTGCCATGCTTTGGTAAGGTTGGCGTGCTCTTCAGGCTTGATTTTGCCAAGTTGCAAAACTGATGGGCCTGCCCTGCCTTCTGTGAGGCTTTTTTTTTTTTCCCTTGGTGGAACTGGGAATTCAACTCAGTTGAACTCAGGCCCTTGTGCTTGCCAGGGAAGCACTTTTTCCACTGAGCCATCTCCCCGGTCCTTTGGTGAGACTTTTAAACCCTGAAAGTACAGAAGTGGTGGTGTGAACACAAAACACTGATTGTTTCCCTTTTATTGGGGGCTTTGACTTTATTTTTTCTTCAAAGAGAAGAAGAAAAAAACACAGGGCCTTGACTTTATTTGTGAAGTTTCTTTCTGCTGGAATGAGCACCAGTGTTGCCCTGTGAAGCAGCACATTCTGTGATGAGATTTAGAACTGGGCATAGTTGAGCCCCTGGTTTGATCTCCGACACCCTCCAGGCCCACCCCCACCCACCTCCTGTGCCAAAAAAATGAGCCAGAAAATACACCATTATGGAAAGTTCTCTCTGGCCCTGCAGACAAATGGAACCTTCTAAGGATCTTGTTCTCAGCTGAATATTTCCTTTCAAAGCTCCCCCAGGTCCCTATACTCCTGTCTAATTAAAACCCGCCTGACAAGCCAAGCCTTGGGCTCCCGGCAGCTCTGTGGGAGGAATTCTTGTCACTAGGGCAGGTGTCACACGCACTGATCAGCACGGGCTGGGGCTCAGATCTGAGCCCCAGAGGTGGGGACACCCAGTCTAAGGTGGGGCCTGCCCTCAGTGTGATTTACCCCAGGGCACAGGGCAGGACTTACCTCTGCCCCTTGGAAGGAGGAGGCTGGAGGGAGGCAGGTTGCCACTCTGGGGAGCCTCAGTTGGCTCATCTGTAAGTCAGGGGAAATGAGCCCTCCCCATCCCCAGGGCTTTTCGGAAGATCAGTGACAGTGAGGATGAAGAAAGGCTTGTGATGGGCAGCAGATGGCAGCTTTCTCACTGGATGCCAGCCCCACAGCCTGGGTCAGTCCTGTATTGCCTCCTAAGCGCTGGGAAAGGGCTTGTTCGGGAGGGGTAACCAGCCAGCTGCACACCATTTTAGAATGGGGGGGAATATAAATTGCCCCCAAGATAACAGGAGACTCAACAAGCTAGCTAATTTAGCTCATGGTGTCACGAAATGGCAGTGATGACCATTTTGGGTCAGATGTATTTTGGAGGCCCTGGTGGTCCTGGGTAGTGTTCTGGGTTACTTCTGGCCTCAGTTTCCCCTGGTTTACCTAAGATCTCATAAGAGGAGGTGGATGATTTGGATGGTTTGATGTATTATTTGTTGTTTATTGAGCTATAAATAATCATATCAAAGCTCCTGAGGAGTCACTTTCCCTTGGTTCTTCCTCACGGGCTAGCAACCATTAAACTCCTTTCTCTGTCTATAACTTTGCCAGTTGGAGACTTTTTTTTTTTTTAATGGCTCTCACATTGTAGTTCAGGCTGGTCCTAACTATATATAGCCCAGGCTGGCCTCCGACTCACAGCAATCCCCCTACCGCAGCCTCCTTCGTGCCTGGATTACAGGCATGCAACTCTGTGTTGGGGACATTTTATACAGATGGATCACACAGCATGGCTTTTGTGTCTGGCTTTGTGTGCTTAGCATGATGTGCAGCATGTGTTGATGAGTGGCATGTTCCTTTTTGTGGCCAGCACGTGTTCCCTTATGTGGATAATCCACGTTTTGTTTAATCATTCATCTGTTGGTGGGTATTTGGCCTGTTTGCGCTTTTCAGTTGTTAAGAATAAGCCACTACATTCACGTGCAGATTTTTTGTTCAGACAGATGTTTTTAATTCTCTTGAGTAAATGCATAAGAGTGAAATTGCTGGGTCATACAGTAATCCTGTATTTTTGAAGTTTTTGAAGAACTGCCAAACTTTGTAAAATGGCTAGGCCTTTTTACATTCCTATCAGTAGTGTGTTATGTACATATTTTTAAAAGTCTTTAAAAAAAAGAAAACAAATAGTTCAGCAGTACTGCCGCTCCAGACTGTTATCAGGAATAGTATTTACAGTGGCATCTCGTTCCCAGGTACTCTACAGAGGACCATTGTGAACACCAGCTTTATCCTTGTTACAAGGGGAGCTTGTCTTGATTAGGATCTGAAGTGAGGCCCTGTGTAGTAATTACACCCATAATCTTGAGAGGCTGACGCAGGAGGATCACAAGTTCAAGCCCAGCCCAGGACCTTAGCAAAGCCCTGTCTCTAAAAAGGCTGGGAACATAGTCTAGTGTTAGAGCAGCCCCAGGTTTCATCTCTAGTACAACACACTCCAAAGAAGATTGAAGCCCAGCACTTGCACTGTGGCGGCCATGGCCAGTGACCCAGTAGGCCCAGGGCACTGCTGCCCAGTACTCCCAGAATCCTCTCTTCTCAGCCTGTCTAGAACACTGCTGACAGGTCTCCCAGCTGAGAGGCGGGATGGAGAATAAGCCCCTCTTTTCTTCCTACTTTCTGCTGCAGAGAAAAGAAATGCTGGGAATGCAATACGAAGTGCTGTAAAGTCTGAGGAACAGAAACTCAAAGACGCCAGGAAAGGTCCCCTGGCCCCTTTTCCAAACCAAAAATCTGAAGCAGCAGAACCTCCAAAAACTCCAACCTCGTCTTGTGATTCTACCAATGCAGCCATCACCAAGCAAGCCCTGAAAAAGCCTCTCAAGGGCAAACAGGCACCTCGGAAAAGGTAAGTGCCCCAAGGCCCAGCTTCACCCAGCTCTGAAGACCCCAACTTTCCTCAGGGCTACAAGGGCCATACTCATGGCCTCTGTCACAGTGAAGGCTCAGGCCCCCAAGCCACCCTGTGCCATTGCTTGTCAGCATCTCTGTGGCACATTAGAGTTCAGCCCCACCCCCCACCCCCGTGCGCGTGGCATCAGCCTGCCCCTGTCTCTAAGGCCCCCTTGCCTAGGTGAGCAGGTGCCATCAGGCCCCAGGACACAAAGATGTGTAAATGGCTTGGTTTCCACACGCTGTCCCCAAGGAGCTAGGTACCTCCTGGGTATGAGTGTGGCTTCAGTCCTGATACCTGTTTTCCTCTCTTCCCTTCACCCCCAGAGCTCAAGGGAAAACACAACAGAATCGCAAACTCACAGACTTCTACCCGGTCCGGAGAAGTTCCCGGAAGAGCAAAGCCGAGCTACAGGTAGAACCTCGTGGTTTCTGATTTACTTCCTGGGTTTGGGTTCCACCCCAGCCCTGATGGGTGTTTGATCCTGAGCCCTGGGACAGATCTCTTAAGGGGACTGAACACAAGGCCTTCACCTTGGGCTGCGTCCCTTGTCCCTTTGACATTTGGAGGCAGGGTTAAGTTGTCCAGGCTGGGATCCAATTTTCGATCCTAGTGGATGCTGGGATTACAGGCATGTGTCACTGAGCGTGGCCTGCTCTGTTGTCTGGATGGTGTCATTGGGGGACTTTGCTGTTACACTCCTGTGAAGGAGCCTTGTGGCCTGGAGCCTGCAGCATAGAAAGCCAGGTACCGTCAGGAGTGGCTTTCTTAGGACTTAGTGGCCAGGCTGAGCCCTGACATGGCTGCAGTCTTGAAGTTTCCCTGTGGTGGCACAGGGTGGGAGAGCTGAGGAACAGCTGCGCCAGTGGGAGGGACTGAGGCGGGTCCCTGGCCCTCAGTGCCTCCACTGTCCTATCTGGAAACTGGGCTGGCTGTCGTGAAGGTTGATGCTTGTAGGACATGTAGCATGGAGCCTGTAGCACACAGTAACTGGGGAACTGTGACCGTGCCGGGTGGTCATGTCCCGTCCCAAGGCTGCAGTCAGCCCTTCTTCCCACCTGGGAACGTGCAGAACCTGTGGAGACCTGGGCGGGAGGGCCGAACAGAGGGCCGGGCTGTGGATTTGAGGTGGAGTGTGGTGTGGTTTGTCACCTCTCTGTCTTGGAGCCTAGGTGTGTGGCAGATGTGACCCCACGGCAGCCCCTTCCTGTCCTCCAAGGTGCAGACTTGGCTGGACAGTTTGAATGTGTCATCTGTTTGTGTTAAAGCTGCAGGTTACGTACAGAGATTCAGTGTGCATTTTGTTTTGTGTCTTTAACCTGATGGTGCTTTAATTTTTTTTTTAATTTTATTTATTTGTGTGTGTGTGTGTGTGTGTGTGTGTGGCCAGCTCAGCCCACCAGGGGGCGGGGCTGGCTGGCATGTGGTGCTGGGGGATTAAAACCGCAGTCCCTGTGCTTTGCTTAGCTTAGCTTGTTCTAAGTAGGTGCTTTAGACCACTGAGCCATCTCACCAGCCCCCAGTGCTTTATTTTAAAAGGAGAACAGCATCCATCCCCTCACCCCAAGCAGCCTTGGCTCTATTTCAGGAGACAGGCAGTGTCTTTCCGCCAAGCATGAGCTGTTAGAAAACCCCCGCCAGCAGTGGCAGCAGCCGGCTGTGTGAGGTCACCCACAGGCAGCACTGCGGGCGAGAGGCGGTATCGGGCTGCAGCCAGGGCTCCTCCCAGCCTGTGCAGGGGGCGCGGGGGCCTCCAGGGTAGCATCAGCCAGTTTGCCCTGCTAAACGGGAACCGGCTTTTGTGCCTGGGGAGAGAAGTGGGGTGTGCTATGGGTCTGCTCAGAGTAGAGCACAGGAGATGGAGGGGGACCGTGGACACGCTTGTGTCCCCAAAGCCCGGGCTGCAGCTCCAGCAGCTGGCCATGCGCCTGCCCCAGCCAGGCTTGAGCAGAGGCCACGTGATACCCCTCACTGCTTGTGCTGGCAGTGGGTCTGGCGCTCGCCCACTGGCCAGGATGCTGTGGCTGGAGCTGGCAGGACGTGGCTTCTTCTGCTGCCGAGGCCAAGCTTGTCCTCATGCCACTGTCCTGGGCCAGCGGGAGCTTGGCCAGGCCTGGGGTCCAGTTAGGGCATAGAGAGGCCGGCAGGAACAAAACCAAAATGAGCAGTGCCCAGGCAGACTGGCTGGGGCAGGGTGTAGGACCTAGGGTGCAGCTTGTCCAGGAGGGAGGTGGGGCCTGGGCTTGAAGTCTGCATAGCCAAGCCTGGACTACAAATGTGAGCTCAGTCTGTGCTGCATAGCGAGTTCAAGGCCAGCCTGGACTACATGATGAGACCCTGTCTCAAGAAAACCAAAACGGGGCTGGGGAGATAGCTCAGTAGAATAAGTGCTTTCCTGGCAAATGCAAGGTCCTGAGTTAATCCCCAGTACTGCAAAAAAAAAAAAAAGCCCCACCAAAATGGAATAAGTAAATACAAACAGATGGGCCTGGAGAGGTGCCCTGGGCCCTGGACACTGTGCTGTGGCCATCACCTGAGCCAGGAGCTGCTTCCTTACCCCCAGCCACCCTGGGCCTGACTGGTGGGGCCTCTGCTGATCCCACTTTCAGCCATCAGGGGCTGTGGGGGCTGTGGCCTTCATCTCATCTGTTCTGCAGCCTGCCCTCCTACCCGGCTGCCCCTGCCAGGCCTTGCAGCCCCCATGGCACTTGCCCAGAGTGCCCTCCGCGGCTGTCGGCCAGCTGCAGACTCCCAGCCTCCGCTCACCGCCCTCCTCCCTTGCACACTGCTCGTGATGAATCCTACACAGGCAGGAGGCACTGGACAGGCCACAGTAGCCACTGTCCTAGCCGGGGGAGTCCATGGCCCACACACTCAGGCCTAGTGTTCGGTACCAATTCACTAGGACCTTGCAGACAGGTTTAACAACTGTGGCTTCCTTAGCCAGGTAGTCAGGGGAGCTTCTCTGGCAAAGTGGCCTTGGAGCAGAGCCCTGAAGGAAGAGGAAGCAGCCAGGCAGATGTTAAGGGAAAAGGCACGTGAGGCATGAGACATAAGGTGAGGCACTGAGACAGAAGTGCAGAGGCCCTGGGGCAGGCTGTGGTTCCTGCAAAACCTGGCAGACCAGATTTTCTCCCTGTAGCAATGGGGAGCTATTGCAAGCCATTTGTTTTTCTTTAAATAATTTTGTAGGGACAGTACTGGGGGTGGAACCCAAGGTCTTCACACGGAGCTGCACCTCCACTCCTTTTTTAAAAATTTTTTTTTCCCCACTCCTTTTTTAAGACAGTCTGGGATTCAAGGCTGTCTAAATAAAGTTTTCATCTTGTAATTTTAGGTGTGTTAGAAAAGTTGCAGAGATAGCGCAGCGTTCCTGTGGCCTTTAGCAGCTTCTCTTGGCAGCACAAGCGAGGCACCCACACCAGTATTCCCTGTTGAGACATGGGGTGCTGTGATCAGACTTAGATTTTTAAAAGACTCCTTCGGCTCCTGGGTGAGGAGTGGAGTTCAGAATGGACATTGGGAGACTGGCACAGGCAGGGTACCAGTCTCCTCCTGTGGAGACCCCAGTGACATCACAAGGTATGGCATGTTGTGGTGTAGATGGTGCTGGTTCGGGTCTGGGAAGCCCCAAGTGCCTTGGCAGTTAGGCGAGGTCTCTGTAGGAAGCTGTGTCACCTGGGGCTCCTTGTCCTGTTTCCTGAGGTTCCCCTTTGCTCCTGTGTCCTGCATACCGAGACCACCAGGGCCCTGGGTCTCAGGCTGGAGGTGAGGACCCCACCAGTGGGCCTGGAAGGGGCAGCCACTTCTCCTTGATGCCAGTCACTCCTGTAGAGATGCAGCCCAGCAACCTTAATACCTGCGGATGCCCAAGGAGCACGCAGCTGGAAGGGAACGGACACATGTCCCCTCTACAGGGTGTGTCCTCTGCTGTAGGTGACTTGAGACAGGGTCACTAAGTTGACAGTCCGGAGATTACAGGCTTGTGGCACCATGCCCAGCACAGAGGCAGGTTTTGTCTTCCACATTTAGAGGTCCAGCCCCTGGGCAGGTGGCTCCTCTTGCTGCTGGGGAGGTGTGAGGTGGCACAGCAACAGAAGTGCTGGGGAGGGTGTTTGAAAGGAATCAGTAGTGGCGGGGCTGCTACTCCGTCTCAGCAGCGCCACCTGGGGACCAAGCCTTCAGTACAAGTGCTTCTGGAGAACACTGTAGCCACCTTGGAGTTCGTCCTGCTGGTGGGCGTCCACAGTGTCCTCCTGGCCTAGGTGCCTCTGGATCTAGGTGCCAGGTCCTTAAGACAGGTGGCTGATGAGCACAGGAGAGTGCTTGGGGTTCTGGTCTCCAGGGCCCCGCAACCCTGTGGTGTAGGTGGAAGTAAACACTGACACTGCTCTGTGCTTTCCTCTCCTCACAGTCGGAAGAAAGGAAAAGAATCGATGAGTTGATCGAGAGCGGGAAGGAGGAAGGCATGAAGGTAAGAGGTGTTGAGGGCGGCTGCGTGTGGCCCAGGTCCCTCGGGGTCACTGAGCAGTCTGGCTCCATCTGGTCTCAAGAGCAAGGCATAGAGGTCTGAGGAAATGGCACTGAAGGAGATGAGTTTTGTTTGTTTGATTTTTTCCCCCCAGTGCTGGAGATTGATCTGGGGTCTTCACACTGAACCGCATCCCCAGTGACAAAAAGCCCCCCCCCCAACACACCCACTTTTTTAAATTTTGAGGCAGGATCTTGCTGTGTTGCCCAGGCTGGGTGTAAACTTACAATCTTCCTGCCTCAGCCTACCTCCCAAGAGCCACCATGCTCAGCTCTGATTTTATAAAGTATACATTTTACAGTGTGGTGCACACACGGTGTCCTCGTCTGATGCCAGAGGCTTGCATCTTCCCCAGGGGGAGCCTTGTACCCGGAGCGGTCGTGCCACAGGCCACGTGCTCTGCCACTCCCTGAGCTGCACCAAGGTGGTGCGGGGAGATCTGATTCCAGAGTCAGATGGCCTCATGGGTCTGCACCCCATCTAGGGGAGCTGAGCGTACGTCCTGGACCCCTCGTGCTACTGCTCTTCACCTCTGTTCATCATAGAACTGGGAGACACACGGGGGGGGGGGGGGACAGTATAACAGGGAGGAGAGACCAGGACACCGAGACTGCTTCTGCTCCAGATAGCAGAGAGCATTGTGGACCCAAGTGCCTTCCACACCACTTCCGGGCTGTGTGGCCTTGGGCACATGGCTCTCCCTGTCTAAACCTCAGTTTCCTTATCTGCAAAGTGGGGCAGCATCCACCCCAGATCTCTGCTGAGGGTCTGACTTGACAGTGTTTTACAGACACACGGAGGAGGGGCTCTGGGTGGGGGCCGTGCTGCTTGTACAGAGTGCCACCTGTCGTTTTTCTTCTTGGGCTTGAACTCAGGACCTTGCGCTTGCCAGGCAGGTGCTTGTGCAGCTGAGCTGTTTCCCTGGCCAAGCCTGTGTAGTTGCTGCTTTCTGCAATGGTGCTAGAAGTCGTCTTCCCTTATATATCTGCAAGATGTTATTTAAAAAAAAAAAAAAAGGAAAATACTGGTGTTATCCAACATAAAGACAGACTTGTAGAAACATGACACTGTCCTCATGCGCCCTTCTCACTGGATGTGACACTGAGCAACTTGTGGCTCTTTCCTAAACTCAAAATGACCTTGAAATACAAACCTTTTGAGTAGATTTCAGGACATAAGGCAGCCGTGACAGTATAGACAGACACTCAGAAGAGAAGACTAGTGCTTCAGCAAGCGGAGGGAGCCATGGGACAAGTGTGTTGAACATCCACTGCTTCTCCATTATACCTCACACAACTGTCTGAAAATCCTTCCCCTCCTGCACGAGACGAATGAATCTCATTTTCATGGAGACCGCCTGGGTAAAACTGCTAAAGCAGGGGTATAGACCTCAGCCTCCAGGAGGGCTGCCACGCCTGCTGGCTGCTGCTCTGCTTTTTTTTTTTTAATCTTTTTGAGACAGCATCTTGCTCTGCACTTAGGTTGGTCTTGAGCTGACATTGTAGTCCAGGCTGACATCGATCCTCCTGCCTCGGCCCCCAGAGTTCTGGGATGACAGGTGTGCCTGGCCTTGCTGGCTTCTTGTCACTGCTGAAAACCAACTCTCCCACCCCCTCCTGACAGATTGACCTCATCGATGGCAAAGGCAGGGGTGTGATTGCCACCAAGCAGTTCTCTCGGGGTGACTTCGTGGTAGAGTACCATGGGGACCTCATTGAGATCACTGATGCCAGGAAGCGGGAGGCTCTGTACGCGCAAGACCCCTCCACGGGCTGCTACATGTACTACTTTCAGTATCTCAGCAAAACCTACTGGTAAGTGGACCGTGTTTTGGTCTGTTGGTTTTGGTTTTTATTTTATTTGTTTTTTGAGACAAGACAGGGTCTTGCCATGTAGTTGAGATTGGACAAGCTCACAGTAGCCCAGGTTGATCTTGAATGGGTAGAGATCCTCCTGCTTCAGCTTTTCGAATGCTTGGATCACAGGTGTGTGTCATCATGCCTGGCCGATCACGCCTGGCTGGTTTTGGTCTTTATTTTTTGAGGTGAAGTCTTGCCAAGTAAGTAGCCCAGGCTGGCCTTGAACTTGCAGCAATCCTCCTGCCTCCACCTTCCCCGTGCTGGGGTGACAGGCATGTGTCACTGAGCTCCACTTTGTAAGTGTATTCTCTGGTGAGTAGCTTTTCCCGAGCCAGGGAAGATGAGCCACGGGGCTGGATTCCCAAGAGCTGCCTTTTCTCAAAGCTGTGACACAGCTCTTCCAGTGTTTGGAGCTGGTGTTGTCCTGGCTTTGCTTTAACATAGCCAGAAGCAGAAGTGGCTTCATCGAGTGGAAGCTCCCCTAGCCTTTTCCTGTGTCAGGTGTTTGGCCAGAGCCCTCTAAAGCTCTAGTTGTTCCCTCCTGGCTGTGCCCTGTGAGGCCAAGTTTTATCTATTTATTTATTTTATAAAACTCTCCAGTTTCCCATGCTTCCCTAAAGAGCCCTTGAGCCGGACAGGTGCCATGTACTGCTTGGGAGGCAGAGAGATCTCAAGTTCAAGGCCAACCTCAGCAAATTAGCAAGAGCCTGTCTTGAAGAAAGGGCTGGGGCTCGCGCTCGGAGGGACAGCGCTTGCCCAGTGTCCAGGAGGTGCTGGTCCAATCCCAGCACCACAAGGATAAAGAGCCCTGAGACCTCCCTGGCTCCAAGCCCCTCACCCAGGATACCCAGGACCTCTCTGAACAGAAACAGCTTTTTGTTGTTGTTTTTTTGGAAAGCAAGGAAGGAGACAGGAAGAAAAAGAGAAAGATAGATAGATCTCAGTATATTCAGGATAGTGTGGTACAGTGGGCTTCCTGCCTCTGCCTCCTAAGTGCCGGGATTACTGGCGTGTACCATCACATCCAGCTTCAGAAACAGCTTTTTGGTGTCAGGAGGGGGTTTTTTGTTTGTCTTTTCTTTTTTCTTTTTTTTTTTTGTATTGAGGGGGTTGAGATAGTCTCACATAGCTGAGGCTGGCCCAGAACCTGCCGGGATCCTCTAGCCTCAGCCTCCTGAGGCCTGTGTCACCACACCAGCTGGAGAAACATCTTTGAATTGAATGGCTTTCCATAGACGAGACCCCAAATCATCCTCCCAGTGGGGGCCCAGCACCAGATGATACCGGCTGGGTTCGAGCCCGCTTTCTCAGTTGAGTTCCCTCCCCTACTCCCTGGCAGCGTGGATGCCACAAGGGAAACGAACCGCCTGGGCCGGCTGATCAACCACAGCAAGTGCGGGAACTGCCAGACCAAGCTGCATGACATCGACGGCGTGCCGCACCTCATCCTCATCGCCTCCCGTGACATCGCAGCCGGGGAGGAGCTGCTGTATGACTACGGGGACCGCAGCAAGGCATCCATCGAGGCCTACCCGTGGCTGAAGCACTGACCGCCCGCCAGCCCACGCTCTTCAAGGACAAAGTGCCCTCAAAGGGAAATGGGGTGTTTTTGTTTTTCTTTTTACACAATTAATCTTAGCAGATTACTTCAGATGTTTTTTTAAAAAAAAAAAAAAAAAAGTATATTAAGATGCCTTTTCACTGTAGTATTTAAATATCTGTTACAGGTTTCCAAGGTGGACTTGAACAGATGGCCTTATATTACCAAAACTTTTATATCCTAGTTGATTTTGTACCTTTTTTGCATACAAGTCGAACGTTTGTGCTTCCGTGCATGCAGTCAAAGACTCAGCACAGGTTTTAGAGGAGA